TGGATGGATGGATGGATGGATGGATGGATGGATGGATGGATGGAAAGGTGGGTGGGTGGATGGATTGATGGATGGGTGGATGAAGGAAGGAAGCCTGGGTGGGTGGATGGATGCATGCATGCACACACACAGGCATTCCCTTCCCTAAGGACAGATTAAGTGGGAAGGAGGGTCAGAGAAGGCAAGTGCTAAAGAAAGGAGAATGGCAGCATCTGACATGGTAACCAGAGCGCTGGACCCAGAGCCGCAGAGCTGAGTTGGAGGCCAGCTTTGCCACATGAATCAGCTGTGTGAACCTTGGGCACATCAGCGTCAGCAAGCTTCAGTTTTCACGTCTATAAAACAGGGGTGATAGTATCTCCTTTGAAGGATGTTTTAAGGAATGAGAAACAGAAATGAGATGAGAAAATGACTTCTCTGGAAGCAAGCCGCTGACACGGTCAGGCTATGAGCTCATCTTGGGCAGCAGCAGGAGCTGTGCCCACCACACCGCCAGCACCCAGCGTCGGGGGCAGACACTCAGCCTGACCAGGAGCCGCTGGGACTGCAGGCGGTGCCGGCCTTCCACGGGCCCAGGGGAGCCGAAGAGCCACCCCATAGGCAGGCCAGGCCGGACGGGGCTCCAGCAGGCCTAAGAGCCAGTGGTTCTGCCTGTCCCATCAGTGGGAGGGCAGGGGAAATGATTGGGCAGATGACAAGAAAAGTGACATCACAGGAGAGGAAACTGGGCAAGAGGCAGATTCCCCGAAAGGGGGAAGCCAGTGCCACGGTGACACCCAGCCCAAGCAGGTTCTGCAAAACCATGCAGCTGGCGGCCAGTCTCACTAGACCAAGTCCCTCCCCCACCTCCAGGCCACTTAAAGGGCATGAGGTCTTGGCCATGGGCACTGGGAGAAGCTGGTTGGAAGCAGCGAGGTGGGGAAAGGCAGAGAGGGCTCAGAGGAGCAAAGCCACAAGCCCGAGGATGCCCAGCCAGCGGAGGGAGCCCGGACCAGCCTTCCCTCATCACTACGCTGACACCTGCGGGGCAAGTCACCTTCTCCCCCAACCCACCCTCCGTTGCCCCTTGTCCATGGCCATTCTGGGTCCAAGGACTGCGTCTCCCCCTCCCTACACACCCTGTGCCTGCAAATCAACACCGTTCCCCAGACTTCTCATATCTTTGCCACCCACACAAGTAAATTTTCCAACAAATGCTCATTCAAAGAATTTCCCAGCATCTACATTGGATGATCATTATCAAAAAAGATCGTAACTAAAGGAAATGGTTTGTCCGGTGCTTATGGTTTGGAGGTACACCTCTGCCTTCCCTTCCGTGCTCAGACATGGGCAACAGCCTGGGGGCAGGCCTGGGGACATTAGTCTCCACCTGGGGACCCCGGATCCTTCACGAAGGTCTCGGAAGATAGAGATGGGACTTCCCAGGCCGTTCTCAGAACTGGCGGGAGCGGCGGGGAGCCTGCTTCTCCCTCTCCCACTCCCCCTGCTTGTGTTCCTGCTCTTGCTAACTCTCTCTCTCTCTCTGTCAAACAAATAAAAATTAAAAAAAATCTTTAAAAAAAACCAAAACTGGCGGGAGCCACAGAAGCTGTCGGTCCTCCCACCAGGACGCCAGTGGATTGGTCCAGAAGTGCCGCGGCCAAGAGAATGAACAGCCAGCACCAGAGCCCCACAGGAAGTCTCTGCACGAAGGGGAGCATTTAGGTGTACATGGGTACATGCACAGACTTGTGCACACAGGCACGGGTGTGCGTACCCACACGCGCTCTGGATCTGACTGCCTTGCTCAATTCTGGCTTCCCCCACTTGCAATCTGGGTGAGGTGGTGCCAATGAGTTCGCCTCTCTGTGCCTTGGGTTCCTCACTGGTCAGTGAAGGCAGTATGGGGCCTGTTTCCTCACCAAGTTGTTGAGGATGAAGGAAATGGCACCACAAAGCCCTCAGCTCGGTGCATGCCTGGCCTGGCATCAAGAGCCAGTCATTAACTCATGGTCGGTGCCTTCTAGAGCGGTGCTCTGTCTGCGCCTGCAGGAGCCAGTGTCCTCCAACCCAGATCTCATTTAGTCTTGCCTGGGGCAGGGGCGGGGGGGGCGGGGGTCTGTGTCATGGCCAGTCTTCAGATGAGCTGCTGGAGGCTGGGAGAGGTGAGCCCTCGCCTGCAGGAAGGGAAGGAGCCAGGATTCCAACCCTGATCTGTCTGGCTTCAGTTCTCTGCACCTCACCAGCCTCATCTGGAGTGACATTTCACTAGGAACTAATAAACACAACGTCTTTCTTCAGACATCTGTGTAAATGATAAGAAGTTGGGGTCTGGGGCTGGTCTAACCCTTCTATTGTATAGATGGGGAAGGTAGTGCACCCAGAGTTACACGTAGACTCCCCTGAACACATCTCCAAATCGCCATGAAGCACAGGGAGGCGTGGGACGAGAGAGAAGAGGGACGGGAGAGCCGTGCCCCGTCGGGCCTCCCCCACCGCTCCCCCATCCACCACCTGGCTGCACCCTGAAATCCCTCCCACCACTGAAAGGCAAAAGACCAGCGAAAGAAGCCAAGTCCTTAGGCTTAGGCATCTTAGGCCTCAGTTTCCCCTCCTGTACAATCGGTAAGGATTAGGTTCGATGGCCTGTCCAGCCCCTACTTTCTATAGCCCAGGGGTGCTTTGAGACACTGGGAGGGAGCCCCCTGCAATCCCACTAGAACCTGTCTAGTGCCTGAAATCCCACCATCACAGCCTCATTCCTTTTAATTAGGACTCTCTCCACCTGGGGCCCACATTTAAAACCCAAGAGTAGCTCAACAGGTCCCTAGAACCAGGGCCCATACTTTGCCCAACCCCTCCTGGCTGTATCACGGAGAGAGAGGGAAGACCCTCCATAGGGAGCATGGTGGGGACCATCCTCCATGTTCCCAGGTGGTGGTGGGTGTGGGAGAGGCTCTGACTGCAGGCCCGACTGGGCACCACCTAATCATGCTGAGCCTCGACTCCCTTTCCGGGAAACGGAATGATGACGCCGTTGACGTCACAGACTGGTGAGCCTGGCTCCTGGCAAATGCAATAGCCATATGGGTGGGGGTAAGGGCAGGAGCGGCAGACCCAGGGCCCTCCTGTTCCTTCCTCAAGGAAGGTGTCAAGAGGGTGACAGGAAAACACATCATCATCATTCGCACAAGTGTGAAATGTGGGCCACTCCTACCGTCATTCTGTGGGCTCCTGATGCTGAGGGGTGAGCCCAGCCAGCCTTAGTCTGGGCAGGCCCCAGGCGGCTAGCAAGGGGGTCCCCAGGGCGCTCCATGAGGATAAAGGTTGTGGTGCCCAGAAATGCCACCCACACACTAGGATGTGGGATGCCTTTTGTTTCCCAAACAGCACGGGCCTGAAGTCACACCATCTCCTGTCACCCCCCGAACAGCAACGGGCCTAAAGTCACACCATCTCCCGTCACCCCTGAACAGCACGAGCCTGAACTCACACCATCTCCCATCACTCCCAAGAAAACACGGGCCTGAAGTCACACCATCTCCTGTCACCCCCCCCAAAGAGCACAGGCCTGAACTCACACCATCTCCCGTCACCCCCGAACAGCATGGGCCTGAAGTCACACCATCTCCCGTCACCCCCCGAACAGCACGGGCTTGAAGTCACACCATCTCCTGTCACCGCCCAAACAGCACGGGTTTGAAGTCACACCATCTCCCGTCACCCCCCGAATAGCATGGGCCTGAAGTCACACCTCAGGCATTTCTTCCTTTTCTTTTCAATCACAGTTCCTAATAAATTGCCAAAGTCCTGGAGGGCACGCTGGCTCACCAATGAGCATTTTCAATCCCTGTCCCCTTTTGTCTGAATAGGATCAACCAACAAGTGAAGTCCGCATTGGTGAGTGTGGACACCAATCCCAGAACCCAAGAATTCCAGAGTCTGGGAACCTTCCCATTTTAGTGTATTGGAATCTTGGAGACTCAAAGTCTGTGAAGCCAAGAAATCAAGAACTTTGCGTATTAGAATCCCAGCCTCTTGGAGGGCCCCCCCAAATCCTGGGATTAGAAGGGAGGGTAGAGGCCCAACCTGCTATTAGATGCAAAAGCTTCTCTTCAGCATCCCGGGACCCCACCCCAGCTCTGCAAGGCTACTTCGAGATCCCTCTTCTCTCCCCGCAACAACGGGGCCATGGGAGAGCCTCCTTCGGCTCCCCTCCATGCCTCCTACTGGCCCTCCCCTCTCTAACTCTCATCCCATCCATCACCAAGGGCACCTGACTCTTCCTCTTTCCCGCTAGGGGACGCTCCCACCCAGCGTTAGCCGTGGAGCCCCTCCCATCGTAAGTATCCCCTCCCCTGAATGTCCCAGGTCACCCTCCTCTTCCCAGACAGGGGA